GTGTGTGTTCGGCGGCGGCCTGTTAGGGCGGGCGCAGTGCTACTGGTGCGGTTACGTTGAGGATCGCTGTGGAGAGCGCAGACACGCGAGCAGAGGATTTGCGTGTTCTTGATGGATTCTGTGTAGCTATAACAGGAGGCGAGAGATGCGCGTGCAGGTTGCATCTGTGTCTCCTGTTATAGTTTCGTTTGATCGCTGATGTCAGGCAGGTGAGTGAGAAGGTGGATTATGGCCCGAAGTAAAAACCTCAAATAAAAACAGATGTAGGCAACGCTGCGAGGTATTAGCTCAGGGCTGTATTTGTGGTTAGGTCGTGGTGATGGGGATTGCGTTTTGAATACGCATGAGAGTATATAGCCCATACATCGCGTATGATATCAGCCATTTTTCCACTGGTATGTTGTGTTTGTAACTTAGTGCTGGTGGTTGTTGTGAATCAGTTGGTGCCGCGGGATTTAAAGCCTCGATATGCGCTGTTGTGTCAAACGAGTTGCTGATGGTGTTGGCGATGGGCTTTTGGGTGGGCCATTCCGCTTATGGTTTGACGAGTTTTTTTATGGGCATGATTTCGGTGCCGCATATATGGCGACGCCGAAAAATCCATGGTCGGAATTGTCAATCCCCATTTGGGCCCGAGATTGGCTGGTGCCGAGCATGAAGGCAACGCCATTTGCAATGGCTTTACGAGGGGGCCTGCCTGCGGGACACATCCATTCCCTGGGAGTGTGGGTTGTTCAGCTGTTCTGGTGGTTGAGCGTTATTGCAGCCATTGTTCTGGCGTCTATCGCGCTTTAAGTATGTTTGCGAAAACCAGTGGTCTGGAGCACGAGCGCGTGGCTATCCCGTGCTCTGGGTCCTCGGTTAGAAAAATGGCCTCGGTCTGCCGAGCCCCAAACGGGAAGGCTTTTGTACAAATCGGTGTCGGGATTGGATGCGTCTGCGCTGATTTTTTTTGTTTGTGAAAGCGTGGAATATTTTGTGTATTTCAACCCCGGTATTCCATTAATCTGGATTTGGACAGCGTGGTTTATATTTTGCCCGATTTTATCCGCCGCGCATTACAGGGGTGAATTTTTTACCATGGCTTTGCGTCTTTTGCCAAGGTGGATGTGTTGTTTCCATGCTGGTATTCATGTGTCTATACTCAATGAGATGCTGTTTTTCGTCGAATGGGTGCACATTGTCGGCCAGAACGGGTCCCGGCGATGCGGTGGCGGGCTGCAAAGTGCCGGTGCATTATGCTCTGTCTTCTGGACATTTTGGACGGCGCGTTGCATTTGAAGATGTGTTCGCAAGGCGTTATTGGGGCGACGTTCGATAAGGTGGATGCATCGGATGAGTTGATGTCGCATCGCATGGCAGGTTATTTACGCTGGAGTCAGCGTGTTGTTCGTGCTGTTGTGGCGGCGTAATTAAAACGCTTACTAAATGGGATTGGAATGGAATTTCGTATCGTGTCTGTTACCCTGGTTTGTGTCATCGCTTAGGTTGGGCTTGCCCGCGTGATTGCCGAAAATCCGGCGTGGTGCTCGATGAGCATTTGCTCTCAGCTGAGGCGGGTTTCGCAGATCTGTTTTTTCATCCGGCAGACGATCGGCGGGTGCGCGAACTGCACGATCACGCTGTTTCTGCCTTGCGTTGCCAGAGCAGGCGATGTTTATGGTTGCCCCCTGGTTCACGTTGCCAGGTTGGAGAGTTGATCAGCAGCAAAAGGGGCGTTTGTGATGACTGTGCTTTTGACACTCATCGTTGGGATCGGTGGGACGGTGAATTCTGACGCTTTTTTTGAGTTATACACACGGCGCGTATATATTTTAATGATCTTCCATGTACGCGCTATCCGCGTGTATGTACGACGGTCTGGTCAACGCTTAAAAGAGTGCCCGAATACAAACCCGACGCTATTGTTTATCGGTGCTGGAGAACTCATTTTTAGTGGTATAGTTTTGTGCAGGTATCGCTTTACATGGTGGCCCCTGCATCAGATTGGGTGATTGTGCCGGTGGTCACGCGATGCATTCGACTATGTTATTTTGATTGCGTGGAGCGCCAAAGCTATTATTCTTCGCATGGGGGAGCTTCGCTTTATCGGCGGCAGGTCGGCCCTTTTTTGTCGGGATGCTGGTGGGCTATGGGTGCGTGTTCACGTCTATGTGGTGGATCAGATTTGGTTTCCCGGCGCGGGGCATCACATGCATTCGTGGAGAGGATGTGCATGAACAAAAATGGGGGGAGGATGTGAAGCAGTCAATACTCTGGCAACACGAGCGGGGCGCGCGTGCGTTTTGGACCGGTGGTCGGGTGGGCGTGCATTAATCGTGACACTGATTTTTTCGGATTCTAAATCTGGAAGATCTGGGGTATTCATCTGGGCACAGCGCGCTTTTGATTTGTTCCAGATGGTTGGTGTATTGGGTTTAAATGATGCCCTGGTACAATACCAGAATGCCTCTCGCGTCCACCATTTCTTCTGCTTTTGGACCTGTCTTTTGTGGGGCGTGGTTGCTTTTTGCCGGGGTTTATTGCAATGTGAGTGGCTTCTGATATCTGGCTGGGCGCCACCGCCGAGGCCCAGGGCCTCCCGCCTCTCCCGTGAGCCGGCATGCGCCGAGGGAGGCCGAGTTCGAAGTGAGAACGCCAAATTATGCGGCGTTTTTTGATATGCAAAACCATGGCTGGATACATTCCCTTGCATCTGTTTCGGGCATTGTGAATGAAAGCGATGTCTGGCATCGGGAATTGCGCTTTCAATCCAGAGCAATAAGTGAACATGGCCGCTGCGTTGAGTGCGGCAATTGTTTGGCCATGGGCCTTATCGGTGTGGTTGGGCTATTAAAAGTGCGGTTCGGAATACAATAGGACCGAGCAGAGAGGAGATAGCATGTTGGGCGGTTTGTGGATTGCCGCTGCATGGATAGCGTCGCTGTCGTTTAGTTGGGCAAAGATGTGAGGATCTCCTGCATTGGCTTCAATGTTCTGGCGCCGAATCATCTGCTCAACAATATCAAACAATAATCTGGACAAGGTCTTTTTGTTCCCGTTTTACTGGCTCTGTGCTGCGGGTATGTACGCTTTTGCCTATCATACACTATGGTTCCATTGAATCGGGCAGTGTTGTGCCTTACGCGGGTAATTTTCGGCTTTTTACGTGGTGCAGAGCGATAATCGCGACTTTGCGACGGGGATATACGCGCACCATTACTGCGATTGCCCTTTGGCCTGGCCGCGCTCATAGGTGGTTTTATGTATGGGCTGATGAGAGTTTGTTGTTGTCGTAAAAGGCGAGGAGATGTTTGGCCGGCTCCTTAATTCACTAAGGCTGTGGTTTTAGCTGTATGCATTAAAGCTGTGGGTATCCGGTGTGGGGTCAGTTGGTTTTTCTCGCCAAGGAAAAAGCACGACTGGTCGTTTCCGATGGACGCTTGTAAATCTGATGTGTTTCGTACCCCGCCCGCGCTCTATTGTGTGTGCGCGACTATGGTATCGATGGATCGCGAGTGCTTTCGCGGCTGCTGCGGTATTTCTCGTGGTACGCAACGCAAATACTGGTCAACCGTTGGATCAATCTGCGAATGGACGCCGTGTATTTGACATCATTTGTTCGACCATGCTGACAACGCTATTGGTCGCCGCTGCGCTGGTTGCGGTTCGTTTATTGGACCGATCTGGGGCATGTGAATCTATGTTGTTGGGTGAGTGTGAAGATGGAGACATTGCCTATGCTATCTCTGCTGCGTTTGTTCGCCATGGGCTTGTGATTGCGGTTCTGGCGTGATTTACGCGCTCATAAGAGCTCGAAATTGTGATTGTGTTGTCGCGCTGCTTCATGGCATAATGCAAGCATTCGGCGTGTAAATGGGATTGATGAATAGGAGGTGCGTTTGGATTGAAAACCATGACCGCGTGGGAAGCAGTCAGTGGATTCGAAGCACGCTACATGCGGTAGCACCATTGACGATGAAGGGCATGACTGTAAAACCGGTATTCTATGCGCCTGTTGTGTGAGTGTGATAGATCGACCTCGAACTGTCGCGTGGCTCCTGATTTGCAGCAGACTAAGCGGCAGCTTTTTACCCAGGCGATGGGGTGTGGATGGCTGTTGTACGGGATTATTGGAGATGGTGGATCGAGCGTCGCTCGATCTGGTGGGGCGGCTGGGTACAACCGCATAGCGTGTTGTGTAAGCCTGCCATGACGCACACGGATGCAATTTCAGGGGCGATTCGCATGCGAGGTTTATTTAACAGTGAGCCCGTGCCAATGCTGGGGTGCCGATGTTGTATGTGGAGAGGGGAGAACGGCCATGGCGCGTTCAATAGCGCGGGCAGATGAGATTTAGAAGCTGCTGTGTGAAGCCAATGCTACATGTGTTAATACGCCCGGGTTTTTGAGACGTTTCTTTTAACGAGAGCATCACGCTGTGCGTCGCGCAATTGCCGAGGGTGAAATGGTGCAACCCCAGAGCAGCTATTCACTACGCGGCGCATCTTTGATGCACGGGCATATTCACTCATAGATTACGCTTTCTTTTTTCTGGGCGACCCGAAGATCGAAGCGGGTGCGTGTTCCCCCCCCCCCCCTCCCCCCCACTGCCAGCCAACCCCCTGTTGTTTCTCTTTTGTACTCACTCCCCCACCCCGACGCACTATACACACGGTGTTGGTCATTCTTGCACACACAGCAAGTTACAGATCGGGAAGAGGCACCCGACAACAACATCTCGTGTTGTCTGGGAAGCGATTCGGAGGGAGCAGGCCACTTTTCAATCACATTGCGCAGTTTTGGGAAATTTGGCTGCGGTGGGATAAGGCGGACTGCGCCAATCGTTCGTTGAGCGGTTAGGTACACGCGCAGCACGGAGCGGGGAGAGTTTTGGGCACTCTGGGAGTTGCCGGGTTTGCAGTTGTACGACAGCCGCAAATACGGTGACAATGGGGTGGCTTTCTACCGGCATCGGTCCCCCTGACCGGTAAAAATCAAAATATTTGGAGTATCACCGAATGGTAACCGCTCTATATCCGGGTACGTTCGATCCGGTCACGATGGGACACCTGGACGTGGCAGAGAGGTCGGCGCGGCTTTTTGGAACCGTTATCGTGGCGGTTTACGATACGCCGTCCAAGAGCCTGCTATTCACCACGGAAGAACGCGTCGCCCTGATGCGTGGAGCCGTTGCCCACGTCGGTAACATCGTGGTGCAGCCATTCACTGGGCTGGTGGTGAATTACGCCCGGGATCAGGGTGCGGCGACCATCATCCGGGGACTGCGGAGCAGCCCGGATTTTGAGTATGAATCGCAAATGTTCTTCATGAATCGCCGGCTGGAACCGGAAGTGGACATGGTGGCACTGATGAGCGACCAGGCGCACACGTTTATCAGTTCCAGCCTGTTGAAGGAAGTTGCCCGTTTGGGCGGGGAAATTTCGGGCATGGTGCCGCCCAACGTGGTCGGCGCTCTCCGTGAAAAATTTGGATCGCCGGTTAAATAGCCAACCGAGGCAAGTCTTAACCACCGGCGTCAGGGGGACATCATCGATATTACGAGCATTATTGATCGCATTGAACTGCTGGTAGATTCCAGCAAATCGGTTCCGCTCAGCGGCAGCGTGATGGTGGACAGGGTGAAGCTGAACGAGCTGGTAGGACAGCTGCGCATGGCCGTGCCGCAAGAAGTTCGCCGGGCCGAGGAGATGCTGTCCCGCAAGGACGACATCATGTCATCGGCGATGTCGGAGGCCCAGCAGGCCCGCCAGCACATGGAGCACGAATTTCGCAGCCGGGTGAGTGAACACGAACTGGGCCGTAAAGCCGAGGAAATGCTGCGCGAGGCCGAGATCAAGTACAAGCGTATTATCGAGATCGGCTGAGCAGGATGCGGAAAACCGCCGGAATCAGGCCGACGCCTATGCTTTGCGTACGCTGCGTAACCTGGAGCGTGATCTGGCGGCAGCCACCGGTTCGATTCGAAAGGGCATCGACGCCCTGGCCGGATCGGCGCTGGCGTCGACGGCCAACAACGATGTTCCTTCACCGCGGGATTTCGCGCCGGATGACGTGACCGAACAGGTCCGTTTCCGGTAATTGAGAGACCGGTTAATCATTGCTGCGGAAAGAGTCGCACATGGGGCGAAACCTCCCCAAGCCCGGTTGCCGAACTGCCCGATTATCGGGTCTGGCAAGTAGCGTTCGTGCTTGACACCGCTACGTCTCCGGGGTGTAGAATTGGCGCAGCCGACCGGCAGGCGCCATTGCGGGCCAGGCGGTCAATCGGTGCCGGACGTGGTCATTGGAGTGATGCAGCGAGATGCGGGAACTTGTAATTGACAGCATCCGGATGAGTCAGATGAACTACCAACGTGTGGTGGTGCTTAAGGAGCTGGAAACCGACCTGTTCCTGCTGATATGGATTGGGCCAACTGAAGCCGAGGCCATCGCTGTCAAGATGCAGGGGATGACGGTTCCTCGACCCCTTACGCACGACCTTCTGGTGGATTTGGTAAAGTCGGTGGGCGGGTCATTTGATCATATCCTGGTGAACGACCTGCAGAACGAAACTTTCTACGCCAAAGTGGTGATCCGGGTGGGGGAACAGACCCATGAGATCGATTCCCGCCCCAGCGACGCCATGGCGGTTGCGGTGCGGGCCGAGGTCCCCATCTACGTAGCCGACGAGGTGATGGAAAAAGCCGCAATCTCCATGGACCAGGAAACCGGTGCGCCGGTAACGCAACCCGCTCCTGGCGGGGAAGCCGCTGAAACCAACGTAACGGAAGAGGAATTGCAGAAACTTTCTGCTTTCACCGACCTCATCAACGAGCTGGACATGGAGGACTTCGAGCGCAAGTAGCCTCGGAAGCGGAATTTGCCAGCAGGATTGATAAGATAACGCCCCGACACGTCCAACGCCGGGGCGTTATCGTAAACGCAATTACGCATTCTGTACGCCTGACTCATTGACACGCTCGAATACCGATGCTACCATGCCTGCCGCCCATGAATGGCAAGCGCACACCAACTCATGCCGCCCTGGCTGATTGTTGCCCTCCGGTTGACCGGACTGGGATGGTACGTCGCGCTGTGCATTGTCATAGGGATTCTCGGAGGGCTATGGCTGGGGAAACTCAGCGGCCAGGTAGCATTGTTTGTATTGATTGGAACCGTGCTGGGCAGCGTCATCGCCTTTTATGGTGTGTACCGGATGGTGCTCCGCGCCGTTTACGGATCCAACCAGCCGGGTTCCACCCCGCTGCGGCGAGACCCTCGGGACACTGACGGAGGCTATTAGGCACTCGTGACGCGTAAACGGGCATTCATGCTCTTTGGCATCGGGATGGCGGTGCTACTGGTGGTTGGGTTTGTGGTAGGCGCCATCGGCTCGCGCATGTTTGGCGGCGAGACGGGCCAACCTTTTGTCCCGCAACCCGAAATCCACCTGCCCCCGCAGCCCATTTTCCCGAAAACGCTTCGTTACAGCGCGTTGGGGCTGGAGGTGGGGTCGGGCGATGCCGCCCACGCCGAGCCGGAGCGAACAGAATCGACCGGCGCCGAGTCCAGCAGCATGGAAGCCGACCACGCTGATGAAGAAGCCCACGGTGAACCGCTGGGCATCATGCAGTTTGCCGTTACCAACACGCTAATGTCAGCCTGGCTGGTGAGCCTGGTTATGCTGATGTTCTTTATCGGTGCGGCACGCAAACCGAAGGTAGTACCCAGCCGCCTGCAGGCCCTGGTGGAGATAATCTTTGAAGGGGTGCTCAGTTTCTCGGTGAGCATTCTGGGCCCCACCATGGCCCGCCGGACATTCCCCATCGTGGCCACCATCTTCTTTTTTGTGCTGTTCAACGCGTGGCTGGCCATTTTCCTGATTCCCATTTACCAGGCAATCGGCTATGGGGTTGGCGGCGATCACGGCTTTGAAATCAAGGCGCACCTGCTGCGTCCCGCTGGCACCGACCTGAACCTGCCGCTGGCGCTGGCGCTGATATCGTTTGTTTTCGTAGAATACTGGGGTTTTCGCACCCACAGTTTTGGTTACCTCAAAAAGTTCTTCGCCTTCGGCGATATTCTTCGAGGGAGGCCGTCTGGAATAATCAACGTGTTTGTGGGTCTCCTGGAGTTGATCTCCGAGATGGTGCGAATCGTTTCGTTCACGTTCCGGCTGTTTGGAAATATGACGGCTGGCGAGATTCTGGTGGTGATGATCACCTTCCTGGTGCCGTTCGTGGCGACGCAGTTCGTATTCGGTCTGGAGTTGCTGGTGGGCCTGGTCCAGTCGGTTATCTTCGCCGGATTGACACTCATATTCCTGTCGGTTGCGGTTAGCCACGAGGAGCATTAGACGGCGAACAGCAACCGCGTCTGAAACCCGCGCAGATCCGCTCCCATGCCCGGAGGGCGACCAGCGAGCGGCTAGAAAAATCGGGCCACAATAAAAACGGAGGATTCTCAACAATGGCAATTGATCTTTCAATGATCACGACAATCATGTCGTTGGGCGCGCAGGCGCTGACCGATGAAGGCGCCAAGTTCCTGGCGGCCGGCTTGGCGATCGGCATCGGCGTCATCGGCCCGGGCGTTGGCATCGGCATCCTGGGCTCGGGAGCGATGGGAGCCATCGGGCGCAACCCGGAAGCCGCCGGTGCGGTTACCACCAACATGATTCTGGCCATCGCCTTCGCAGAAGCGTTTGGGTATTTATTCGCTAATTGTCGCTGTAATCCTGCTCTTCGTGGTGTAGTAACATGGCAGAACTGGGCTTGAATGTGCCCTCGTTGATCAGTTATCTGATCAACTACATCGTCCTGCTGATTCTGCTCGGCGTTTTCGCCTATCGTCCTTTGCTCAACGCGCTGGACACCCGGGTGGATACCATCCGGGAGAGTCTGGCGGCGGCAGACCGAGCGCGCGAAGAAGCCGCAACATCGCGTTCGGCCATCGAAGATGAGATTAACGAAGCTCGCCGGGAGGGCCAGCGCCTGCTGGACCAGGCCCGGGAAGCAGCCGACCGTTTCCGGGAAGAAGAGATGGCTCGGGCGCGCCAGTCAGCAGAAGAGTTTGGCGAGCGCGCCCGCTCCGACATTGCACGGGAAAGGGACGCCGCCATCGACGAGGTACGCTCAGCCTTTGGCGACCTGGCAATCACCGCCGCCGAACGGATTATTCGCCGCACGGTGGACCGGCAAGCCCATCAGGAAATCATTGACCAGGTTTTGGCTGAAGGCGAGCAGGCGCTCCGCCGGAGTTAGTCGATCCGTCAACAACACGTCCGTCGGCGCAAGTTGGCGCAGTCATCCGTGACCGCGCTTCGGCGCCGGCGAGAGAGTTAGAGGGAGGCAGCACAGCCGTGGCAAATCGATTGTCGGGGCAGCGCTACGCCCAGGCCATCTTTGAGTTGGCGCTGGAAAACGATCAGGTGGTGCAATGGGACCAGGACTTGCGCCTGGCTTCCGACGTGCTTCAGGATGAGGAATTTGCGCTGTTTTTGAAACACGCCGAAGTTCCCGCTGAGCGCAAGGTTGCCGCCATCGAGGCCGTCCTTACGGAAACGCATCCGTTGGTGCGCAACCTGATATCGCTGCTGGTAAGCCGCAGCGGGGTTGACGCCATTGGCGACGTGCAGGCGGGCTATTCTCAGTTGCTCGATGAGCATCTGGGTCGGCAGCGCGTGGAAGTGACGGCGGCAGTTGCGCTAACAGACGACGAGCTGGAGCGCATCGAACGGTTCGTGTCACAGCTGGCCGGCCGCGATATCATCATTACCACGCACGTGGACGAGAATTTGCTGGGCGGATTGATCATCCAGATCGGCGACCAGCTGCTGGACGGCAGCACAAGTTCGGCTCTGGACCGAATGCGTCTGAGTGTTCGCGCTCGGGCGGCCTAATTGACGCAAACTACACCGGCTGGTTGGCAGCCACGCCCCCAGAGGACGACGGCGCCAATTTCAGATAATAAGGAGACTGGCTAATGGCAGTCAGAGGACAAGAGCTAATATCGCTCATCAAGCGGCAAATTGAGGAGTTTGGCGGCGACCTGACCCTCGTTGACGTGGGGACTGTTCTGCAGGTGGGTGACGGCATCGCCAGCATTCAGGGCCTGCAAAGCGTCCGTTCCAACGAATTGCTGGACTTTGGCAACGGTATTCTCGGGCTGGCCATGAACCTGGAATCGGACGTTGTGGGAGCAGCCATTCTCGGCGACCCCACCGGCGTGAAAGAGGGCGACCGCGTGCGGGCCACCGGTCAGATTATTGAAGTGCCAGTGGGCGATGCCCTGATAGGCCGGGTTGTGGACCCTCTGGGCCGGCCGCTGGACGGCAAGGGCCCGATTATCACCGACCAAACGATGGCGGTGGAGCGCACCGCGCCCAACGTCGTGGTTCGCAAGTCGGTGGATACTCCGGTGCAAACCGGCATCAAGGCCATTGACGCCATGATTCCGATCGGTCGCGGCCAACGTGAACTCATCATCGGCGACCGCTCCACCGGCAAGTCGGCCATCGCCATCGATACGATTATCAATCAGCGCGATACCGACCTGATCTGCATCTACGTGGCCATCGGCCAGAAGCAGGGCAAGGTTTCGCGACTGCTGTGTGTGCGATACCCACTGACACCGACATTTCCTCATGTCACTCAGGAAGAATCCGGCCATGGACGCCGAATTTGTGGTCAACGCGGGGTCGGCCGATTCGGCTCCCCTGCAATTCATTGCGCCGTACGCCGGTTGCGCCATGGTGCGCGTTTTTCGATGCGAGCAGGCAAGATGTCCTGATCGTTGTACGCGACGACCTGACCAAGCACGCCTGGGCCTACCGCCAGATGTCGCTGCTGCTGCGCCGCCCCGCGGGTCGCGAGGCGTATCCCGGCGACGTTTTCTACCTGCACAGCCGGTTGCTGGAGCGGGCGGCTCGCCTGGACGACAGCCTGGGCGGCGGTTCGCTGACAGCGCTGCCGATCATCGAAACTCAGGCTGGCGACGTGTCGGCATATATTCCGACCAACGTGATTTCCATTACCGACGGCCAGATATAACCAACCACATTTGACAATGACCACCACAAAACAACACCTGGAGCCGGAGTTGTTCAACGTGGGAATCCGCCCAGCCATCAACGTGGGTTTGTCGGTTTCGTCGGCGCGTGGGTGGAGCCGCCTAGCCGCGGGCCATCCGGCAAGTGGCGGGCAGCCTGCGGATGGACCTGGCCCAGTATCGCGAGCTGGCAACGTTTGCCGTTTGCGCGGCTCCACGGCCGACCTGTGACGAAACTTCGACGCGGGCGCACTGCAATGTCAGTTAAGGCCACCGAAGCCCTCAAGCAGGGTCAGTATCAGCCGTTGAATCTCGGTGACGAGGTGATGATACTATTCGCGGTGAATTCCGGGTTGATGCAGGATGTGCCGCTGGAACGGGTGGGGGCGTTTGAGGAGCAGTTGCTGCGCCATCTCAACGCGACGCAGCCCGATCTGGGGCGGACCATCGGCGAGGCCGGGAACATCTCTGACGAGGTGGGAAATCAGTTGACTACGGCAATAAACGATTTCAAGCCGACGTTCGCTGCAAAACGTAACGTGCGCAAAAACCATATGATTATCGTGCCTTCCAGATACGTAAGGTTAATTAGATGCCCAGCTTAGAGACCTACGACAAGACGACGCATCCGCAGCGTGGAGAACACCGGCAAGGTGACCAATGCCATGTCGTTGATCGCCGCCTCCAAGATGCGGCGGGCGCAGATGGCTGTTATTGAAGGCCGCCCTTACGCCGAAAAGATTCACGATGTGATCGCAACGCTGGCGGCGCAACCGGCCGGCGACGAGGACACGGTCCATCCGTTGCTGCAGGTGCGGCCGGTGAATCGCGTTGGCCTGGTGGTGATTACGCCCGATCGGGGATTGGCCGGCGGGATGCACGCGACGATTAACCGGAGAGTAGCCCAGTTCATTTTGAACAGCGCAGCCCCCGTACGGAGTATTGTGGTTGGTCGCAAGGGGCGCGATTTTCTGGTGCGCTATACCGAGGGAGTACAGGCGATATTCACCGACCTGGGCGACCGGATATCGCTGGCCGACACCACCGCGATATCCCGCCTGGTGATCGAGGGGTATTCGGAGGGCGAGGTGGACGAGGTGTACGTTGCGTACACGCGTTTTTTGTCCACCATGCAGCAGCAAGCGGTGATGGAACGCATCCTGCCGGTGGAACCGGCCGAACTGGATAGTACCCAGAGGGTGGGTTATATCTATGAGCCAGACGCGAACACGGTGCTGTCGGCGCTGTTGCCCCAGTTCGTGGAAATGCAGGTTTATCACGCGGTGCTGGAGAGCATAGCCAGCGAGCAATCGGCCCGAATGGTTGCCATGCGCAGCGCCACCGACAATGCCAACCAGTTGTCCTCTGACCTCACGCTGGTGATGAACAAACTTCGCCAGGACAGCATTACCAACGAACTGCTCGACCTAGTGGGTGGCCAGATTGCCCAAGAAGGATAGGCCGCGCCGAAGCAAGGCCGGCAAGCCGGCTGGCCGCGATCCATTCGGCTAACCGCTGTCCCACTAACCAACTGAAACTACGCCTAAAGAATCTCCCGCAGACGAATCCGGAGGACATACAAGATGCCCGGTAAAATTGCCCAAGTTATCGGCACAGTGGTGGACGTGGAGTTTCCCGCCGACCAAATGCCGAATCTGTTCGACGCGCTGGAAGTTGATAACTCTGGCGAACGGCTGGTGCTGGAAGTACAGCAGCACATCGGCAACCACTGGGCCCGATGCCTGGCGTTGGGTTCAACCGACGGCGTGGCCCGGGGCAGCGAAGTTACCGACACCGGGTCGAAGGTTATGGTTCCGGTGGGCCCCGAAACTTTGGGACGGCTGTTTGACGTTACGGGCACGCCCCTGGACAACCTGGGCGCGGTGGAAGCCGGGCAACACTGGCCCATTCACCGAGACCCGCCGGCATTTGACGACCAAAGCTCAACGGTGGACATTCTCGAGACCGGCATCAAGGTGTTCGACCTCATTACGCCCTTCCCCAAGGGCGGCAAGGTGGGAGCCTACGGCGGCGCCGGAGTTGGGAAAACGGTAATCATTCAGGAACTTATCCGCAACATCGGTGCGGTGCACAGTGGCGTGTCGGTATTCGCCGGAGTGGGAGAACGCTCCCGCGAGGGCAACGACCTGTGGCACGAAATGCAGGACTCCGGCGTGTTGGGCACCACGGTGCTGGTGTTCGGTCAAATGAACGAAACCCCCGGGGTGCGCGCCCGCATCGGCCTGACCGGCCTGACCATGGCGGAATACTTCCGGGAAGAAGAGAACCAGGACGTGCTGCTGTTCATCGACAACATTTACCGCTACATCCTGGCCGGCATGGAAGTATCGGCGCTGTTGGGACGGATGCCGTCCGCAGTGGGATACCAGCCCACGCTCAGCACCGAGATGGGCGCCCTGCAGGAGCGGATCACCTCGACCAAGAGCGGTTCCATCACGTCATTCCAGGCCATCTACGTACCGGCCGACGACTACACCGACCCTGGCATCGTGACCACGTTTGGTCACCTGGACGCCGTGGTGTCGCTGGAACGGTCGCTGGCGGCGCAGGCGTTGTATCCGGCGGTGGACCCGCTGGCATCGTTTGCCCGAATCCTGGAACCCCGCATCGTTGGGGAGGAGACACTACCGGGTCGCCCGTGGCGTGCAGCAGGTATTGCAGCGCTATCGCGACCTGCAGGACATCATCGCGATTCTGGGAATTGAAGAGCTGTCGGAAGAGGACCGCCAGGCGGTTTTCCGGGCCCGCAAGATCCAGCGCTTCCTGACTCAACCCTTCTTCGTCGCTGAGACGTTCACCAACCAGCCTGGGAAATACGTGGCGTTGCGCGACACCGTGCGCGGGTCGCTGAATGCTGGACGGGTCAGACACGACCGACCTACACTGCAGCCTTCTACAGGGTGGTGCGACGATTCGAAGAGCTGGTGGAGAGAGCAGAACAGATGCAGGCCGCCGCCTAGCGTGCAGGAGTTCTCCCCATGCCCATGCAACTGCAAATAATCACCGCAGAGCGCGAGTTGTTCTCGGGTGAAGTCGATGCACTGGTAGCGCCGGGAATCGCCGGCCAGCTGGGCATCCTGCCGCGCCATGCTCCTCTGATGACGTCGCTGCAACCCGGCGAGCTGATGGTGCGGGCCGATGGGGAAGAATCGTACCTGGCGCTATCCGGCGGTTATCTGGAAGTGCTGGGCAACCGGGTAACCATCCTGGCTGACGCCGCTGAAGACGTGGACGAAATCGACGAAGCGAGGGCGCAGGAAGCCATCGACCAGGCACAGGAACGCATCGCCAATCGTGAATCGGATGTGGAGCTGGAGCGTGCAGTGGCATCGTTGCGCCGGGCGCAGGTGCGGCTGACCGTGTCGCGGCGGCGGCGAACCAGCCCGCATCGGTCCATGGCGCAACGTCGGCTGGATTCCGGGGGCGGCGGCTAGTCGGGGCGCCGGCGCCTGGGGTTGTACGACGCGGGTTTAGTCGCGCGTCAGGTGCGCTGCGCGGGAACCTGACCTGGAGGGCCTTTGCCGTTTACCCCGGGTGCGGATTCGGTTAGATAGTAGTCATGGACTGCAGGGCCAGCACTGGATCGATGTTGCGTACCCACACACCGGCCGGGACCTGGGCGGTGATGGGCGCGTAGTTGAGGATAGCGCGCACGCCGCACTCAACCAACTGGTCGACAACCGACTGGGTATGAACGCTGGGTACGGCGACAATGGCGATGGTGATGTTGCGGCTGGCCACCGTCTCGGCCATTGCGCTCATGGGCTCCACGGAAACGCCGCCCACATCCTCGCCCAGATGCCTGGGGTTGTTATCGAACGCGGCCACCAGATGAAACCCGTCGGGATTGAAACCCGGGTAGTTGAGGATCGCGTTTCCCAATCGGCCCACGCCGACCACGGCGACGTTCCATTCGGCGTCCAACCCCAGAATCTGCTTCAACTCGGTCAGCAGATGACGTACGCGGTAGCCGCGGCCCTGCTTGCCAAACCGCCCGAAATAGGAAAGGTCTTTCCGGATCTGGGCGGAGGTTATTTGAAGCATGGCGCCGAGTTGCTGTGAATTGGTTACTTCCTCGCCGTCGTCCAGTAGTTGCGAGAGGATGCGAACGTATTGAGGCGGAAATGACGCACGATCCGTCACTCTCGAGCGGTCCAAATAGCAGGATTGTGATCCACCACCTGGAGTATCACTTGGGTTGGACACCATGACAATAAGCAAGCCCTAAACCGTAAGCGAAGACGTGCGGTCTGTCGATATAAGGACCGCAACTTATATGAACCACAAGGTAAAGTAATTACCCCTGCCGGCTATAATCTATCCCCCGGACTTGCTGGCGTCAATAGCCACCATACTCTCACACGTACCCACTTTGTCATTGCGACCCCGTACTCGATGCGGGGGTTGGTAATCTCGTCGACGTAGCAAAGGCGGTTTGCCCACGTATGTTCAACCTCATCGAGATTGCCACGTCGCTGACGCTCCTGGCAATGACAGGGGGTGATGCTCTTCACAATGACAGATTAATGCGGATAGACGATGTCGGTAACGCACGGACATGAGCGCACCCACAAACCTGGAGGGATACCATGCACGTTGGACTGGTGCGTATTGCACTACGCCTGCACGACAGCCAAAGCCTGAAAACCCGTCGACAGGTAGCCCGCAGCCTTACCAACCGGATACGGGGCCGCTTCAACGTGGCGGTAGCCGAGGACTCGGAGGAGGACGGCAACGCCTGGCAGCGGCTAACGCTGTTGGTGTCCTGCGTCAGCAACGATAGCGGACACGCCGATTCCATCCTGGCCAACGTGGTGGACTATATCGCCAACACCCGACCGGATCTGGAGCTGCTGGAATATGGCACCGAGATAATCAGCGGGGTTTGATGATGGATGGCGCCGGGAAAAGCAAACGCCCCGGGCGGTTGGGCACCAGGGGCGCGGGAATCGGCTGGCGGAATGCCAGGTTGATCAGATTCGATCGTTAATAGCGTGCATCAGGTCCTGAAGGTCGGGGAAAAGATGGGCGTCGGGAGTGTGCTTGTGTTCGCCGATCAGATCGCCGTCGATGATGATATCGAACTTGCCGTGTTCACCGGGTGTCAGTTTGAACGTGGATATATTGTCGCCGGTGCGAGTAAGGGCTTCGCTGGCCATCCAGGCCGCGCGTCCTGCGTGCCCTCAATCCCAACAATAGACGATCTCGATTTCCAGGCGTTTCATATCAGGTCGCTGTGCCATTGGGTAACTCCTGCTTGGCATAGAATGCCAATGATTTTGTTTCAGCCGATGATATGCGAATGCGCCGCAGTATGCAACGACGGGGTGTCCTTCGACGGGCTCAGGATGAACGGGGGGCGGCGGCGGTCCTTCGACAGGGAGAGAGGATGATCACCCTCACCCCAACCCTCTCCCATCAAGGGAGAGGGGGCCGGGATGGACGTCCTTCGACAGGCTCAGGATGAGCGGCGACGGTACAGCCGGCCCTTCGACGGGCTCAGGATGAGCGGCGACGGTGGAGGCGGCCCTTCGACAGGGAGAGGGGATGATCACCCTCACCCCAACCCTCTCCCATCGAGGGAGAGGGGGCCGGTATGGACGTCCTTCGACGGGCTCAGGATGAACGGCGACGGTGGAGGCGGCCCTTCGACAGGCTCAGGATGAGCGGCGACGGTGGAGGCGGTCCTTCGACGGGGAGAGGGGATGATCACCCTCACCCCAACCCTCTCCCATCAAGGGAGAGGGGGCCTGGATGAGCGGGGGGTGGCGGCGCGGTGGTTTGGAGCCAATCGATGAGGGTTTCCCAAAATTCGCGGGATTCGCCGATGTCCAGATGCCCCTTGCCTTCCAGTTCGAGGTACTGCTTGGGTTGGCGGGCTGCGTCGTACAGCTTGCGTCCCTGCCACACCGGCACGAGTTCATCGTCGGTACCGTGAACGACCAGCAGCGGGCAGCCGATTTTGCTGATGTGAGCCAACGTATTGAAACGGTCGCCGACCACCAATCCGTTCAACGTAACCATCGGGTAGGATAACTTTGCCATTTCACGCAACGAGGCGAACGGAGCCACCAAAGCCAGTCCCCGGGGGTGGAAACCTTCGGCGGCCAGACGTGTCGCCACGGCCGAACCCATGGAGACCCCGAAATAATGTGCCGACTCGGGTGGGACACCATAGCGCCGGCGAAGATGGGTCAGGACCGCCCTGGCATCAAAGGCCGTATTCCGGACTGACGACCGACCGTCGCTGAGGCCAAAACCGCCGTAATCGAAGGCGAGGATGTTGCCTCCGGTATGATGTCGCACAGAGGCGAACTCGCCGATGCGCAGGCTTAGGTTTGCGCCGACACCGCCAAACCAGAGCCAGGTGAGGTCGGTTTGCGGATGCCCCGGGATGTACCAGCAGACCAAAGATCGGCCATCGGCAGTGTTTGTTATCGTCGATTCAAAATCCAGGCCCAGGTCATTCGGAGTAGTGTCACTCAACGGTCTGGGCCGAAACAGCAGACGCTGTTCCAGGTAATTCAACATTACGGTTGGCAGTAACGAATCCAGCATGGCGTCAAGTTACAACGTCGGGTTAGACGTCTCCGATACTGTCAGCGAGGATTTCCAGGACATCCCTGGCTTCTTTGGTATCAGATTGACCTTTGGCCTGGATACCCTCGGTCATCATTTGCAGGCAGAACGGGCAGGAAACCCCCACCGTATCGGCTCCGGTTTCCAGGAAGTGGTCGGTGCGTACGTGATTGATGCGGTCACCCTGGCTCTCCTCGATCCACATGTGGCCGCCGCCAGCGCCACAGCAGAAACCGCGCTCGCGACACCGGGGCGACATCTCCACGAGCTTGAGCCCGGGGATTGCTTTGGCCACGTTGCGGGGTTCGTCGTAGACACCATTGTGCCGTCCCAGGAAGCAGGAGTCATGGTAGGCGACCGACACATCCATGACCTTGATGGGCTTGATGCGCCCCTCGCGTATAAGGCCGTCTACGAACTGACTATAGTGCAGCACTTCGTAGTTGCCGCCAAACTGGGGGTATTCATTACGCATGGTGTTGAAGCAGTGGGGGCAGATGGTGACGATGGTTTTGATGTTGTAGGAGTTGAGAACCTCGACGTTCTGTTGGGCCATGATCTGGTAGAGATATTCGTTGCCCATGCGCCGGGCCGGGTCGCCGGTGCAGGTCTCCTCGTCGCCCAGGATGGCGAAATCGACGCCGGCGGACTTGAGCACCTTGACCATGGAACGGGCGACGCCCTGGCTGCGCTGTTCCAGTGCGGCGGTGCATCCGACCCAGAACAGAACCTCAGCATCGGGATGGTCGGCGATGGTTGGCACGTTGAGGCCCTCTGCCCAGTCGGTGCGGGAATACGTGGTGCCGCGCCAGGGATGGCCGCGCTGTTCCATGCTGAGCAGGGCGTTCATACCGCTTTCGGGGATGCGGGATTCCTCGAGCACCAGGCTCCGGCGCATGTCCATGATGGTTGGCACGTGCTCCACCACCACGGGGCATTCCTCCATGCAGGCGCCGCAGGAAACGCAATCCCAGATGGCCTGTTCGGGGATGGCGCCGTCGATCAGGGGCATGGGCTCGACGTGTTCGGCATCCCGCTGCCCCTGGTGTCCGATGGCGATCATGTGCTCTTTGATGTTCTCCACGATGTGCATGGGGGACAGCACTTTACCGGTGGTGTGGGCAGGGCAGGCGTCGGTGCAGCGTCCGCAAACGGCGCAGGCGTAACCGTCGAGCAGTTCTTTCCAGGTGAAGTCCTGGACCCGGGAGGCTCCGAAACGCTCCACGTTTTCGAGGTCGATAGCGGCCAGTGTCCCGCGGGGTTCAAGGTTGCGGAAGAAGGCGTTGAGTGGAGCGGCCACCATGTGTATGTGCTTGGAAAAGGGGATATAAAGTGAAAACGCCAGGATGATGATCAGGTGAACCCACCAGAAGACGGCCTGCAAGTTGCCGGCAAATGCTTCCGTCATTCCCAATGCGACGAACCACCCGCTGATGGCTCCACCGATGAACACGCCCGCCTCGGGGCCGGAGCCGGCTGAAGCAACGTAGAAAGAATGGACCAGCAGCGTCGCAATCATCAAGCCCGCGGTGAGTGCGACGATGATGACGGATTCGCCCTTGCGGGTGAGGTCGAAGCTGAGTCGATGGGGTTGGGCGATCCAGCGGCGAGCCAGGGCCCAAACGAGGGCGGCCAGCACGACTACGGCCAGGATGTCCAGATAGATGCTGTACACCAGCACGCCGGTCGGAGTCAGGATTGTTTCGCCGAGGGGATGCCAGATGGAGCCGCCGAAGATGAATATGAGGTAGGAAAGGCTGAAGGACAGGAACCCCCAGAAAATGGCGGCGTGGCTGATGCCGGCCAGGTCGAGGCGGCGGGACCGGGGATCAATGCTGCCCACGCGCTGCAGCACTTTGCGCTGTCCCAGGACGATGACAATGGCGCCCGTCATGCGGGTGAGAGGTCGGTCGAAGCGGGCCACGGGAAGTCCCTGCAGCACCAGACGAAACACGCGGTGGTAAACGGCAAAACCGGCCACCGCCAGGGTAAGGGCAGTGAGCAGGTACACTCCAACCCAAACCGGAATGACGCCGAACAAATTCTCGGGAGGAACCATATATCGCCCTGTTCAGGAGCTGCCGGAATGGTGAACCGGCACCCTATCAAAGTCGCGGCCAAGTTTACCACACCGCCGCCGCTGACTTTCGCCGGCGATGGGGATATCACCCTCGCCCCCGTATCAAGTACGGGGCAGGCTCCAGCCCTCTCCCATCGAGGGAGAGGGGGTCCTTCGACAGGCTCAGGACGAACGGGCGGGCCACCCTCACCCCAGCCCTCTCCCATCAAGGGAGAGGGGGTCCGACAGGCTCAGGATGAACGGGGACGGTGGGCTCAGGACGAACGGGCGGGTCACCCTCACCCCAGCCCTCTCCCATCGAGGGAGGGGGGTCCTTCGACAGGCTCAGGATGAACGGGGACGGTGGGCTCAGGACGAACGGGCGGGCCACCCTTACCCCAGCCCTCTCCCATCGAGGGAGAGGGGGCCTTCGACAGGCTCAGGACGAACGGGGACGGTGGGCTCAGGATGGGCGGGGAAAGGGGGCGTTGGAGAATATTCCGTTGACGGTTGGGCCGTGGTACTGCACAATGGTTGACGCCATGAATTTGCATGAGTATCAGGCCAAAGCGATTTTCGCCCGTTACGGGATTCCAGTGCCCAACGGGCAGGTGGCAGGTACTCCGGATGAGGCGGCACAGGCGACGGCAGGGTTCGGCGGACGGGCGGCGATCAAGGCGCAGGTACACGCCGGTGGCCGGGGGCTGGTGGGCGGTGTGAAGGTGGTCAGATCTCCGGATGAGGCGCGCGAATTTGCCGGCAGCCTGCTCGGCACTCGGCTGGTTACCCATCAAACCGATGCCAACGGCGTGCCCGTCGACGGTGTTCTGGTGGAGGAATTGGCGGACATCGCCACGGAGATGTACGTGGCCCTAACCATCGACCGGAATTTTCGGGGCGTGGTTTTCATCGCCAGCGCCGCCGGGGGAACGTCCATAGAAGAGGTTGCGGCTACCGACCCTGACGCCATCATCACTGAAAACGTGGACCCGCTGCTGGGGCTGATGCCGTTTCAATGCCGGCGTCTGGCAGCCCGGCTGGAATTGACCGGACCAACGGCGCGGCAGGCAGCCAACATCTTCGACGCCCTGTATCGCATTTTCACCGAGAACGATTGCACGCTGGTTGAGGTGAACCCCCTGATCGTAACGGGCGATGGTTCGGTGGTGGCCCTGGATGCCAAGGTAAACCTGGAAGATGATGCGATGTTCCGTCACCCCGATTTGCACGAACTTCGGGACCGCAGTCAGGAGGACCCACTGGAGGCACAGGCGGCGGACGACGATATCGCCTACGTGAGCCTGGACGGCAGGGTGGGTTGCCTGGTGAACGGCGCCGGGCTGGCGATGGCAACGCTGGATGTGGCCAACGCAGCGGGCGCGGCGCCGGCCAACTTTCTGGACGTGGGCGGCGGCGCGTCCGAAGAAAAAGTGGCGGCGGCGGTGAGCATCATCCTGTCGGATCCCAAGGTTGACCGGGTTCTGGTCAATATTTTCGGCGGCATTTTGCGTTGCGATGTGGCGGCCCGCGGGATAGTGATGGCCTTTGAAGAACATCTTGCCCAGCAACCGCTGGTGGTGAGGATGCTGGGAACCAACCTGGCTGAGGGCAAAAACATTCTGGCCCAGTCGGGACTGAACGTAACCTTCACCGACACGCTTACCGAGGCTGCGGCGGCTTTGAGCGCCGAACCGGCGGCATAATCCGATGGGCATTCTGTTAAACGAGCAGTCCAGGGTTCTGGTGCAGGGCATCACCGGGCGTGAGGGTAGTTTCCACGCCCGTTCCTGCAAAGAATACGGTACGCAACTGGTGTCGGGCGTGACCCCCGGTCGGGGCGGGCAGCTGTTCGACGACTCGGTGCCGGTGTTCGATTCCGTGGGAGAAGCTGTCGATTCTACCGGCGCCAACGTGGCCCTGGTTTTCGTGCCGCCGGCTTTTGCCGCCGATGCGGTCGCTGAATCCGTGGACGCCGGCATACCGCTGATCGCCTGCATCACCGAGGGCATACCGGTGCAGGAGATGGTGGGCCTGTATCGCTACGTACACGCGAGTCCCACGCGGCTGATTGGCCCCAATTGCCCGGGCCTGATCAATCCCGGGGCAAGATGCAAGGTTGGAATAATGCCCGGAGATATCCACATGCCAGGCAGGGTTGGGGTGGTTTCCCGCAGCGGAACCCTGACCTATGAGGCAGTGGGGCAGTTGACCGATCTGGGGATCGGTCAGTCGTCGTGCGTGGGAATCGGCGGCGACCCGATAATCGGCAGCAGCTTTGTCGAGATACTGCAACTGTACAACGATGATCCCGATACCGACATGGTGGTGTTTATCGGCGAGATCGGGGGGACGATGGAGCAGGAGGCAGCCGAATACATCGGTTCTGCCGAGTTTACCAAGCCCATCTGCTCGCTGATCGTGGGGGCGACGGCGCCGCCCGGAAAGCGCATGGGACATGCTGGAGCCATCATAACCGGCGAGAGCGCTACGGCCGCGTCTAAAACCGCCGCCCTGGAAAAGGCGGGGGCGGTTATTATTCCCACGCCGGCGGACATCGGCGCAACGGCGCAGCAGGTGTTGCGAGAGACCGGGCTGACGGGATAGGTTGGTCGGGCCGGCAACCGGGACTGCCGCAATGGATTGACGGATGCCAAATCGGGCCGGCGCCAGTCTTCATATCTCAATGTTTCCTCTTGATGTGTCCTCCGCAGCCGATCGCTTCGTACGATATTGCACCTCCGTAAGTCGTGGTAGCATATAACCAGTCAGAAAGACCGGTAGTATACGCGAATCTATCGTAAGTGAGTCAACTGCCGTGCGAGAAGTCCAGTCAACTGAAGCCAAAGCCCGCTTGGCGGAATTGCTGCGGACCGTAGAGAGGGGAGAAACCATCGCCATAACGCGTCACGGTAAAGTGGTGGCATATTTGACGCCTCCAGCAGAGCCAGGCGCCGCTAATCACAAGGAAGCGGTGATGCGATTCCGGCAGTATCTTCACATGCCACGCGCCGCTGGCACGCCCACCAGTGAAATCCTGGAAATGCGACACGACGGTCATGCGCGATGAGCGCCTACGTACTGGACGCTTCAGTGGCGGCGGCATGGTTTCTGGCCGACGAACCTGATACGACTGCGGGCGCTGCGTTGGACCGCCTCGAATCGGGCGAGGCATACGTACCGCAGCTATGGCATTTGGAAATTCGCAATGTGCTGTTGGTTGCCGAAAGAAGGGGCCGTGTTGCCCCGGGAGAGGCGACTCAACACTTAAACGCGCTGGCCAGGTTGCCGATCCAAACCGATACTGCGCCGGACCTGGAAGGGGCTTATGGGTTGGCCAGAGTTTACGAACTAACGATCTATGACGCCATATATCTTGAATTGGCGATGCGGAAACACGTGGCTCTGGCGACTTTGGATTCCCGACTGGCGGCTGCGACCGTCGGAGAACGCCTGGAAGTAATTGCGTGACCGTTCGCGGGTATGCAAAAGGGGTTGGTCGAATTCGCCAGGACTGCCACGTTGCTGGCGCTCCTCGCAATTACAGGGGGCGGCCCTTCGACGGGCTTAGGACCGGCGGTGTATGTTTCGCGCGATGACAGGGGCGGCCCTTCGACGGGCTCAGGACGAACGGGGGTATGTTTCGCGCGATGACAGGGGGCGGCCCTTCGACGGGCTCAGGACGAACGGGGGTATGTTTCGCGCGATGACAGGGGGCGGCCTTCGACGGGCTCAGGACGAACGGGGGTATGTTTCTCGCGATGACAGGGGACGGCCTTCGACGGGCTCAGGACGGACGGGGGTATGTTCCTCGCGATGACAGGGGACGGCCTTCGACGGGCTTAGGACGAACGGGGGTATGTTTCGCGCGATGACAGGGGGCGGTCATGCGCTATAATATTGACCTGCGCGGGCGTAGCTTAGTGGTAAAGCTCTAGCCTTCCAAGCTAGTTACGTGGGTTCGATCCCCATCGCCCGCTCCACAACGCGTCCGATCGGGCGCTTTTTTATTCTTCGAACCGGCACAGGGGCTGCGACGCGCTGGCGGCAACCTGCTGGCGCACGGTAGCGAGGGCGCGGACGGCCGCTTGCTGCACGGCCGCGGCGTCGAGGGTGGCAATCAGTTCGCCGAATTCGTCCTGACCGAAGTTTTCTTCCTGTCTGAACTCGTCGATCAGCGCGGCGATGGCAACGTTCCGTTCGCTCTCGATGGCATGGGCCAGGGCGGTCAGCGCGCCGCTATCGATCTGGCGTCCAATCTCGGCGGTGAGCAGCTCGGTTTCCACGACCCGACGCTGGATGACCCCGATATTCTGGAGGTTGCGTCCGAGATAACACCCGCCAAACTGCATAATCTCGCACTCGCGGCCTTCCAGTCCCTCGATCTCTGCAAACCAGTGATAGCGCGGTTCAAGTTCGTGCTGGCTGAGGTAGTCGCGTACTTCCTGATCCTCGGCGGCAGGATCCGTGGGATCGAACACGAGCTTTATGGTGTTCATCATGAGGCCCGCTGGTTCAACTGCGATGTACATTTTGACCTCCTGTAGAGACGGGGCGAGTCCTCTCCGGCGCTCCGACCCTCTCCCGCTGGGAGAGGGAGTATGTCAGTTCTCCCTCAGACCTGGTCGCATCGGGAGGGAGCGAGGGTCGCGAGCCTATTGATCTCCGATGGCGCGAACGACACGGTCAACGTTTTCGGGACCGGCGACAATGGATTTGTTGTCCACCAACCGCATGGCTTCGACGATGGCGTCGTGGTAAGGGGTGGCGACGCCGGTTTCACGGCCCTTGTCGCAGATGAGACCGTTCATAAAGTCTACTTCGGACTTGCGGCCCTTGTGGACGTCCTGGGCCATGGAAGCCAGCCAGTTAACCCGCCCGCCGGACTCCGACAGTCTCCCATCCAGTTCTTCGAAAACGTCGCCCTTGTCGGCGTCAGCCCAGAATTCGGCGGGGATGCCGTTGATGTCCACGACCTTGAGGCCCTGGGCGAGGCCGACCTGAGTGCCTTCTTTGGCCAGCTGGATGCGGATGCGTCGAATGCGAGCATCTTCGGCCATTTCCTGGCTGCCCAGTTTGCTCATGGCAGAGATGGCGTTACCCATGCCGTTCTGGCAGAGTTTGGCCCACCGCTCCCCCCACAGGTTATCGGTGGCGTAGGCGGCATCGATATTGTCAAGCTTGGCGACGATGGCCTTGGCACGCTCTGTAACCTGCCCGCTGTTTTCACCCACGCGAAACACGGTGTGGCCTTGTTCGCGTCCGGGTTCTCCGCCCCGATTGACGTGGCCGGGCTCCCAGAGGGCAACCTCGATGTGAGAGGCGATACAACCCAACTGGCGCTCTGGACCCACGATGGAAGCAATGGTCGGGTCGTTCCAGCAGTTCTGGATAGAAACGAAGGCTCCATCGTCCTTGACGTAGCGCTTGATGAAATGGGTGGCCCATTCGGTGTCGTACGACTTGACGGTGATGAACGCGTAGTCGAATGGTTCGGTGATGTTTTGCGCCTCGGTGAGGTGCATGGCGTTGACGGGGACGGTGAAGTCGCCCTGACTGCCACTGGCGCGCAGACCCACGGTGCGCATTTTTTCAACGTGCTCGGGCCACATATCAATAAAAGTGATGTCGTCGTCGCCAGCCTGGACCAGGAAAGCGCCGACATAGCTGCCCACGGCTCCGGGTCCCATGATTGCGATGCGATCTGCCATAGTTTCTTCTCCTTAGTTGGGGTGATCTGCGCCGGCGGCAGAGGCTGCCGCAGAGTACGATGGTGAATGGAGAACAGCGTAGCAGCGGCAGATTTCGTCGCGGAATTCCGGGGGAATGAGCTGCCAGTCTTTCACCTGTACGATGAACGGCAGCCTTGATTCGGACAGATCTTCCTTCAACAGGAACCTGGTAATTTCGCTAAGGGGTTCATTCCCGATGATCACCAAGTCGAGGTCGGAATACCTGCGGGCCCGTCCATTTACGCGGGAGCCGTAGGCCCATACTTCTCGATCTGGTAGATGTTTCGCCAGAATATCTGCCAGCATTTTCATGTGCTCCGGCAGGACGTCGATGACGGATTGGGTAAGCATTACTTCCTCTCGTTCAACACTGTAATCAGCGCTTCAACTGCCTGATGCAACTCAGGAGCGGCTTCGGCGGTTCTGCTTGCCACCGTGTCAAAATAATCATGAGCAGAATCGTTCCTGCGTTCTCTAAAATAGAACCACTGCTCCGCGGAAGCGATTATTCCGTAGTCGGCAGCGGCCCTCAATACATCTCCCACAGTCATCCTATCAACATCGGTTTTCAACAACGTGGCATCTTCCAGGCTACGCCGTATGAATCCGTAAGCTAGCTCGTGAGTGAATTCGTAGCCTTTGACCACCGCAGTTCGATATATGCCGTGATGTGGATGGTTTTCTTCCAAAGCTACGTAAGCTTCCAGAAACTCGCCCAACCGGGCATTGGCCCGTTCCAGCGGGGCCAAGTTGATTGATCCATCCCTTGCCATGATACTGCAATTCCGCCCTTTCTACATCCCCACTACGCGGGCGTCGTCGATAGTTTCACATTACTTCTTCTCGCCCTAGCGCCCAAACCTAAACTTTTGAATCTGTTTGTTCTAGCGAAGGTTGTCGGCTATGACTGTATTAGGAGAGTAGAAGGACACAAACCGATTTTTGGCGGTTGATTCCTCTTCTAGCTTCTTGATTTCTTTGCGCAGCTTTGCGTTATTTCCCGGACGCACTGTCGCGAATATCTCCGCTTCCACCAGTTTGGGATCGATACTTTGCAGGTGAATCCTGACACCGCGAAAATCCTAATTCTGACTTACATCGCAACGACCCGGGCGTTGTCGATTTGCGGCAAGGCCATGATTTCGTCGAGGGCATCGGCGGAGATCGGGTCGTCGACGCCGAGAACCATCATTGCCTGACCACGCGGCGCGATCCGGCCAACTTCCATGAAGCTGATGTTGATGTTGCGTCGGCCGGCCACCGTGCCCACCGCGCCGATTGTGCCGGGCTGGTCCTGGTTGTCCACAAACAGCAGGTAGGGCGTGGACGGCGCAACGTCCATCCAGTAGTCGTTGACGCGAACCAGGTGGGGCTCGTCGCGGAGGGAAGTGCCGGCGATGGTGATGTCGTCGCCGGTGGTGTGAAGCGTGGCCGATATGAGGCTGGCGTATTCGAGTCCATCGGATGAAGTCTGTTCGGTTATTTGCAGGCCGCGCTGCTGGGCCAGCACCGGCGCGTTGATCATGTTGACGACTTCGCCACTGACAGGCGACAACAGACCGACGAGGGCAGCAGCCTTGAGGATGGCCGTGTTGTGGGTGGCGATTTCGCCCTGATAGCGCAGCGTTACGCCGATGAATTGCCCGCGGGCCATGTTGGTGAGCAGGCGGCCCACCATGGAGGCCACCGGCACGTAGGGCGCCAGGATGGCGTGAACCTCGGGCGGGACGAAGGGGGCGTTGACGGTGTTGCGGGCCGGCTGTCCGTTGAGCACGGCGATTACCTGCTCGGCGGCTTCGATAGCGACTTCGCGCTGGGCTTCCTGCGTGGACGCGCCCAGATGGGGCGTTGCCATCAGGCGTGGATGGCGCAGCAGGGGAAGGTCGCCGGGGGGTTCGTTGGTGAACACGTCGAGGGCAACACCGGCGAGCTGTTCGTTTTCCAGGGCTTGCAGCAGGGCGTCTTCATCCACCAGCTCTCCGCGAGCGACGTTGATGAGCCGGGCGCCGGGTTTCATCTTCGCCAGTTGCTCTTTGTTGATCATTTTGGTGGTTCCCGGTGTCAGCGGGGTGTGCAATGTGATGAAATCTGCCTGGGGCAGCAACTCATCCAGCGTCATGGTGGTTACGCCCAGGCGAGCCGCGAAGTCTGGGGCCACGAAGGGATCGAAGGCAATCAGCCTCATGCCGAAACTACTGGCGCGGCGGGCCACTTCCGAACCAACGCGTCCGAGCCCGATGATGCCCAGGGTCTTGTTGCGAACCTCGATGCCCATAAACGCCGAACGCTGCCACTGTCCTTCCTTCATGGAGGCGTAGGCCTGCGGCACGTTGCGGGCAAGGGAGAGCATGAGGGCGAGGGTGTGTTCGGCGGCGGCCACGGTGTTGCCAATGGGAGCGTTGACCACGGCGATGCCGGCCCGGGTGGCGGCGTCGAGGTCGATATTGTCAACGCCAATACCGGCGCGGGCGACGACCTTGAGGTTACGGCCGGCCTCGATCACCGGGCTGGTTACCTTGGTTTCGCTACGCACGACCAGGGCGTCGTAATCGCCGATGATGTCAACGAGTTCTTCCGGCGTGAGGCCGCGCTTGATGTCGGTGGGGACGTTTTTCTGGAGCAACTCGATGCCTTCGGAGGCAATGTTGTCAGTTATTAATACCTTGGGCATGGGTAATCGGCACCTCTAGGTGGAGTAATCAATCAGAAAATATAGTTCGGCGGAGACGGAATTCGGGCCGAACCTTTCGGTGAATCGTAGTTGGTGGTGTGATCTGAAGCGGATTCGATCCAACCGCGCGGCTTGCAACGGCGGCGCGTGCTCCGCATTCGATGGTAGCATACTGACCGCCGGCTGTCAGCCGGACACCTGAGAGGTAGAGACGAGAGCGCGCCACCAATGTCAATTCGTCGACCCTACCGCGCAGTCGGGATGTTGTTAATTAGTGTACTGGTAGCGTCGGTGATGGCGTTGGCGTGCGACAACGCTGATCTGTCCACCGCGCCGCCGGTCCCTGGACCAACGACGCCTGGGGCCGCTGAGAAATCGACCCAGCCATCAACGGATCCGACGACGCCGGCTCGGCCAGCGACGGAAGGCGTTACACCGAGGTTTACGCTAACTCCAACATCACTCGTGTTGACTCCGTTGCCGACTTACACGCCCCGGCCGCCCACGCCTCTCGGACTGACGCCGGAGTCAACTCCCGATTCGGGCGACAGTCCGTCCACCCAACTGATCTGGAGCTACGAGGCCGAGCTGGCCGGATTTTCCTCACCGATAGTCGTGGACGGGGTTGTGTACGTCGGCACCGAAAGCCGCATGAATGCGTTTGATGCCATCAGCGGGCAACTCCGTTGGCGCTACGAAACTGAAACGGGTTATTTGTGGAGCGAGGCGGCGCTGTCGGGCGGGATAGTGTATTTCGGTCCCTACGGCCGCCACGTTTACGCGGTGGATGCTCAAAACGGAACTCTGCTCTGGCGTTATGGCAGCGAGTATGATGTCTTCTTCCTGACCCTGGCGGACGGCGTGGTCTACGTCGTCACCGGAGAGAATTTGCTGGCGCTGGACGCCGCGGCCGGTGAGTTGCTGTCGCGGTATGAATCTGACGTTGATATATCCCTCCCAACTCTGGTCAATGGAACTCTATACGGCAATACGTTTGAAGGCGCTGTCTCCGCGCTAGATACCGCTACCGGCAACACCATCTGGAGCCACGAGACCAATGGCGCATTGGGCCTTTCCCCGGCAGTGGTCGGCGGCGGCGTGCACTTCGGCTCCAGCGACGGATTCCTGAACTTGCTGGAGGCGGACTCCGGTAATTTGGTGAAACGTTACCAAATCGGCGGCGAACCGGTGGCCCCTCCGGTGGTGGTGGATGGCGTGGTCTATTTCGGTTCAACCGAGGGCTATGTGTACGCATTGGATACCGACACCGGCGACGCTGCTGGGGCAGACTCAAACCTGCCACGCGTCGCCGATATTTTTCTTTCCCCACGGTAGCTGATTGGGTGGTTTACATCGCTTCCATGGACAACACCGTGTACGCTTTGACAGCCCCTTAGCAACCTCCCCGGCGTACGGTCCTTCGACAGGCTCAGGATGCGCGGGGACGGGGGATGACCACCCTACCCAGCCCTCTCCCATCAAGGGAGAGGGGTCCTTCGACAGGCTCAGGATGCGCGGGGACGGGGGATGACCACCCTCACGCTGCCCTCTCCCATCGAGGGCGAGGGGTCCTTCGACAGGCTCAGGATGCGCGGGGACGTGGGATGTGACCACCCTCACCCAGCCCTCTCCCATCAAGGGCGAGGGGTCCTTCGACAGGTTCAGGATGCGCGGCGACGGGGGGCGCGGCGATGCAAAATGTCTGGAATTGGTGGCCACCGGTGTATTGACAAGTATCGTTCATAGATATAATATGTATTCAAGGTGCTGGGGTTACAGGGAAATCCCACCCACCCGAACCCGATGGAAATGATCCGTCGTCAGCACAGGAGGTTTGAAATGGTTTCGCTGATAACGCTAAACCATAAGTGGCATTGCCCCTGTAAACGCCCTGTCGGCCAGGGCATCGCGATTCGATGAATCGCCGCCGCCGATGGGGAAACCAGAAGCATCGGGCGAGCCGTTGGTAAATACGCAAAGGCCACACGCCTGACCGGGCGCAGGTTGGCGCCATCGGTAAGACGGGCATATCGGTCGAAAGACCGACCAGCGGGCGGCCAACGCCGATGGAAAACATAAGGCCAGGATACCGTAACGGGGTCCTGGCCTTTCTTGTTGTTGCAAACAACCTGGCGCTTCGGTTTTCGACCATTCATTCCGTCATTCTGAATAATCAGGCCCGTGCGATGAGTGGTCGGCGATGCGGGACGTATTTACCGCCAGACCCGGGAGTTTACGCAGCCTCCGCCCGCCTCGCGTCCAGGTATTCGGCACACTGAGGCATCCAGGGGACTGAACAGTCGGGAGTCCATCCGGGTGTTTCACCGCCGTTGGCTTCGGGTTGGCCGGCGTTTGGGGCAGGCATTTCGACGGCTGGGTGAACAGGACGAAAAATTATCAAGGAAAGGACGATGGCCGCGATAACCGGGAAGGCCAGGATCAGGAAGCCGTCGCTGAAACCCGGCGCGGCGCCGATGTAAAAAGGGTTGAGCGGATTGCTGAGCGGTGTACTGCGGATACCTGCCGCCGCGATCAGCGTTGTCGCGCCGAAACTTCCACCCAGGAAAAACAGCATAGAGTTTATGCTGAGCGCCGAGGCCAGCAGCGGGCCCCGCATCGCGCTGGATATCATCGCCGCCAACGGTGTGTTGGTGAGACCGAACCCTGCACCGAGCAACCCGGCGCAAGCGGCAACTCCCCAGACCGACGCTCCGGCATAGGTGGATAGACCCAGCACGGCAAGCAACATTACCGGTGCGCCCAGCAGCATGGGCCGGCGTCCTCCCCAGCGATCCGTGGCGCGTCCCGCCAACACACCGAATGCCGCGCTGCAAACTGCGCCGGGCAACATCACCAAACCCACCTGCGTTGCGGTGAGGCCGTGGGTTGCCGCGGCCATGATGGGGACGCCGATCAGCGTAGCCAAATTGGCAGCCATCACCGTGAAGCTGATACCGACCAACGCTACGTATCGACGATTCTGCAGGAGCGCTCTGGGGATGAACGGGGAACCGGCCCGAGTCTGCCGATAATACAGCGCGACGAGACCGATGACGAACGCCGAAACGCCGATGAGAACAGGGTAGGAATTCCAGCCTGATCGCGCCCAGGCCGACGGCGCCAGTAACGCGCCCACCACCACCAGACCCAACGCCATGCCTCCCCAAATGTCGAGGCTGCCTGCAGAACGAGTTTCGTCCGATGGCAGGATTCGCAACGCCAACGGAACCAGCAGAACCGATGCGGCGTTGATGAAGAAGATGGATTGCCAGCCCAATGATCCTGACAGTACGCCGCCCAGCAGGGGACCGATGGCGGAGGCTCCGCCGATCGTTGCCGCCAGAATCCCGAGGGCCTTGCCGCTGGAATCCGGCCCGTAGGCTCGGCTGGCCAGTGTCATCCCGAGGCCGGGAACGGCGGCGCCGCCGCTGGCCTGGATAATTCTGCCGAGGAGCAGTATTTCAAAGCCCGGCGCCAACGCACACACCAGTGAACCGAGCGCGAAAAGACTCAATCCCAGGATGAACAGCGGTTTCGCGCCGTGGCGGTCGGCCAACCGGCCGTAGAACGGGATCGCGATACCAAAGACCAGAAGGAAGCCGGTCATGACCCAACCGAGCTGTCCTGAGTCCACGGACAACTCGGCGGCGATGTCGGGAAGCATGACTCCCAGGGCGGATGCGTTCAGTACACTCAGGAATAGGGCAACGCAGATAATTGGCAGGATGGCGGATCGATGTCCTGCACTGACACTTGCGCTCATGGTGGGCTCTCCCGTATGTGACATCCGGTTGTTAGCGTTGGGAGAGGGGTGTTAACCATGCCCCTCTCCGCCGGCCTGGCTAAACGCTCCGGGGCAGGTGCACGTTCATGAGTTCCATAAATCCACTCATGTCATAGTCGGCCATATTCAGCCGGGCCAATTCGGCCATCACCGCTTCCCAGGTGACGGGAATCGCTCCGGCCTGGATGATGCGCTGCATACCGCGCTCGTGGGCATCGACGCTGGTGCCGCCCGATGCGTCGGACACGCGTACACCTCATAACCTTCGTTGAGCAGGTCCAGGGCGGGAACACGAGGCACACTTCCGTCCAGAGGCCAGCCATTATCAGCTTGCGGCGTCCGGTGGCGATCACGGCCTCGCGGAAGGCGGGCTCTTCCCAGGCATTCACCCTGGATCGATCGACGGTGGAAACGCCGGGCAGCGCCGACTTTAGCTCGGCAATCGTATCCTCCTGGTAGCCAGCGCTGACAGCAACGGTGGTGAGCACGATGGGCAACTTGAACAGGCTGCCGGTCTTGGCCAACGCCAGGACGTTGTTGACCAGAATCTCGCGGCTAACGGACCTGGTGCCGTCAATCAAACCTGGTTGAAAGTCAATCAGAATCAATGCCGAATTTTCGGGAGTGAGCAGATGATCGGTTTTGGGGTCCCGTGCGATTTGCGTAGTCATAGCGACCTCCGGATTTTGTGGGCTTTGAGGCCAGCGAACCGGCCGATATCGTTTACGTTCACGCTGATCAGATGGCGCTCATATTGGATCCTCCCCGATTGGTTCGTGGGCCAGTATCTTTTTCAGCATCCGCACGAATTCCGCCTGCTCCGCGCTGTCGAGACGGCTGGCGAAATGGTCGTTATTGGCGTACACCAGGTGCGCCAACCGTGGCACCAGCTCCCGCCCGGCTGCGGTAAGGGTGATGCGGACGTTGCGACGATCGCGGGTGCTGCGCCGACGCTGGACCAAACCCCGGGCAACCAGACGGTCGACCTGGCGGCTGATGGCGGCGGCGTCCACCGGGATACATCGGCACAGAGTGGATACGGAGTCAGCCTCGCCGTTGTAGCAAGTCTCCATGATGGCCCATTGCGGCGTGGTGATTCCAAACGGCGCCAGGCGTCGGTTGAGGCTGTTCTTCAATGCCGACCCCAATGATCCGAGCCAAAACCCCAATCCATCCTGCGCGGTGATTCGTTCTGGCGTGTTCATAAGGCAATAATAATTGACTAAACAATGATTGTCAAGTCTATTATTGACTAATCAATTATATTGTGGCCGGCATAAATCCGGTTACGGGCAGGCCGCAGGAAGATTTCGCGGGGGGTTGGCCCCGGCAGGAAGCGTTAACGCGTGGGAGGGCTGTCGTCCGGCACGGGCAGGCCGGCGGCCGCCAAAGCAGCCTGGTATTGCTCCGGCGTGTTGACGTCCCAGAGTAGTTCCGGAGCGCCCAGTTCCACCCGCCGGGTGGCCGGCTGGTGTCGCTGCGTAACAGCGCGCATCCCCAGGGTGGCTTCGTCGATGGTCAACAGTTCCGGCAGCAGGGTGCGACTTACCACCATAGGGTGGCCGCCTTTGCCCTGGCAGGTGGGAATGGTTATCAATGCGTCGCGGTTGTCGTAGTGGGCGCGCAGCACCTGGCCGATGACGGCGGCGCTACGGGGCTGGTCGACGTTGAGCATGAGGATTGAGCCCTGGGGGTCGTCAGCAGCATCGAGGGCCTGCAGTCCGACCTTGATGGAGGTGGTTTTGCCCAGGCCATAATCGGGGTTTTCGGCACACCGGACGTTGCCGACGGCATAGACATCGCGGTTGGCTCCGATGCGGGCACGCAGTTCGTCGGAACGATGGCCCAGGACAACCACGACCTCGTCAGCGCCGGCGGCACGCAGGGCCACGATCTGATGGATGATGAGGGGCCGGCCATCCCAGTCCAGCAGTGCTTTGAGCGTGCCCATGCGACGGGAAACGCCGGCGGCGAGCAGTATGGCAGACGTGAAGGGCGCTGCGGTGGCGGCCGAGTCTGGCCCCTCTTGAGTCATGGCGGGACGTCTGGGGACGGTCCACAGCGCGGCGAGGCTAATTCCGCCGAGCACACTCGATGCCTGCGCTTGAGCGCGGCGTCTCGGCGTCGCTTCCAGGTACCAGTCGTCCATGGTCATGGGACTGCCCTTGCCACCACGGCGAGCCATGCATGATGTCGGACTATGACGTGCTGACGGCCGTTTCC